TTGTATGTCATAGCTGCACATCCTTCTAGTTGCTGTATGTGGGACGCGGCCTCAGCATGGCCGGAGAAGCGTTGCGTCGGTGCGCGCCCGGGATCTGAACCCGGGCCGCCAGCAGCGGAGCGCGCACACTTAACTGCTAAGCCACGGGGCTGGCCCCTACACTGAGTTGGTTTTAATGTTTTACTAGCCTACAAGCAAACTAAAACCTAATCCTATAATGCCCCAAGGTTAAGAAATCAAAATCTAAAGACAATCAATCATAAACAGCCAACTAGGCTTTCCCAAATGATGCAACCATTTAAGCTACAGCCAATCAAATAATTTCCCTGCTTTGCTCACGCCTCTTCTGTATAACAGTCTTTCCCCTAGCTCCTATCAGTGGAGCTTTTCTAACCATTTCCAGTTTGGTGCTGCTGGATTCAAATCAATTTTTGCTCAAACAAACTCTTAAAATTTTTAATATGCCTCAGTTTATCTTTTAACAACATATCTGACAACTCTGCAGTAGTACTCCTGGGTATAGACAGAAATGTGTATCTATGTTACCAAAAGACATAAACAAAAATGTTCATAGCACTATTTGTAACAGTAAAAACCCGCAAATAACCCCAAATGTCCATTAACAGTAGAAATGAATAAATAAAATGTGACCTATCACACAATGGAAGATATAGTAACAATGAAATGAACAAACTACTGCTACGTATAACATGGGTGAACCTCAAAAGTAAAATGTTGAGCAAAATAAAATAGACACAAACTATATGATTTCATTTATATAAAACTCAAAAACAAAATCTATGGTGTTAGAAGTCAGCATAATGGCTATCCTAGGGGAGAGGTAGTGACTGGAAGGGACACGAGTGGAGTGCTTCATAATTTATTCTGGGTGTTATGGTCATGTTGTGAAAATTTTTGAGCTACCTATGTATCACTTTATTTTTCTGTACTTCAAAAAAATGAATTCTTAAAATATACATACACTCGGGAAAAAACTCACTGAATTCAAGCTGACAAGGCCCCTCCCAAGCTGGCTCCAATCATCTTTTTGGCCATATTTTCTGATACTTTAACTCCTCGTTCCCTGCTCTGCATTTTCCAAACATTTGTCCTCTGAGTATGTGTTTTGTTCTGCTTGGAATACCCTTTGACACTTGACAACTCATTTCCATCTTTTAGACTCTGCTCAGATGTCTCCTCTGTGACTGTTTCAGACTCCTTCCATCATTTTCTGGACACCCACAATAACTTGGGCAAGCCTCTATTTTAGCAGCACATACCATACTGTATTACAATTGTTTGTTTGTGTCTATTCTACTTGATTGTGAACTCTCTGAGAACAGGTACCAGATTTTCATTTTTGCACCTCAGTGGCCAGCACAGTACCCATTCATTCATTCATCATAGCTACCATGTGAAATGTTCTGTGATAGGTGTCTGGAAATACGAGTAAGCAGGCTTCTCAGGAGCTTATGGTCTGCCATAGATAGCACTCATTAAAGCAAAAAACAGAAGCAGTAGAGAGACAAGAACACATAATGAGACAAGGACAAGCAGATAGAGATGCACAGATCTTTATGGAATAACACTGCCATTTTTATGGTGTTTTACAACATTGCTACTAAAGATCTGAAGCTGTGTTGTGTTGTTTTAAGGCTTAAATGGGAAATATCTCTTAGCATTTGTACTTGGGGTTGAATGAAATTAAATAGAAGGTAGAATTCAATCCACAATAATAAGTTACATCACCTATTATTTTAAAATCAAGCAGCGTAAGCCACTGTTAACAGCCTGTGTTAGATAGGTCTTTGATTTTTTAACTAGTTTAAATCAACCATAGTTAAGAGTTACATTTTGCTATGAATTGTGATTATGTTTCTAAATAATCACCTTATACATTATGTACTTTATCTATAAATCTTTTCCAGAAGCGTTCAGATTGACAACAAACCAACAAAAATACAAAATAACTAAACTGAACAAGTCAGCCTACTTCACTGAATACTGCAGTTTCACAGAGATATTTTATTTTTAAATATATTTTCACCATTCTGAAGGGTCATATTATTACACAAAGACCAAATAGCACTTTAAAGAAATGGGTGCTAGTATTTTTTTTTCCTTATCTACAGTAAAAGGCTTAGAGCCAGTCCAAGAATTCTTTCTGCTACCTTAAGACTTTTCCAGTAATTTCTTAAAAGCATTAACAATTTAAATAAAATGAAGATAGCATCTAAAGATGCAAGCACTCCTATTTCATGATATCCTAAATGCTCATGATAGCGTTTAAGGGTCACTAAGATCCACGAGTAGACTGGAAAACTGTTTTCTCTTCCTGTCTACATAAATTGATGTATTTTCCCCTTAAGGTTTAGTATACTCTTTCCCCAAAGGCACAATGTATCTATCAACACTGCCATTAAATTACACCATTACTC